TATATATATATATATATATATATATATATATATATATATATATATATATATATATATATAGAGAGAGAGAGAGAGAGAATGGTGTGTAGCCATTTCTAGTAACTAGGTGATATTATCTAAATGTCTTAGATCCATTTGGTTTTGAGGATTGCATGTCCTTCTCATTCAACAGTGTTTCATTTTTTGTTCTCTCATTTAATCAACATTTGCTGAGTGCTTTTTAGGCTCTTGCTACCAGGCATTACATTACATTCTATTTACCCTCAGCCCTAGCTTAGAGTCTACAACTAAAGGGATACAAATGGATACAACTATGGAATCAAGACTGCTTAGAAGGCTTGGTGACATGTTCTCAGGGCATAGAAGGCAGGATGAGTTCTGGGCCAGTGGGTTACTCAGATCAAGTTATGGTCATTTCTGTAAATGGGCAGCCTGTGGAAATCCTGAACGAGGATTTCTCAGGGCAAAGTACTGATATCTACAGCAAGGCCTCCACTGTGGGGCACAAGCATTCTGATAAAGCAGTGCATCACTTTTGCCTATTATTTCAGCATATGTGATTACAAAGTCCACATCTATGTCTACCTTGGTTTTGAACAACAGAGCTCCATGGGTGCCATAGAGGAAGGTCCAGCAAGTCCTAAGCTGGAAATCACCATTTGATCTTCAAATGCTGTTCTAGGGGTGGCAAGGGGGACTGGGATGTCTGCATTCTGGACTGAGGCTTGAGGTACAAGAATGGGGGTACCCTTACATGTGAGCATGCAGGAAGACCAAAGTTCAAGAAACTCATCATGAGTTAACTCCAGATGTTTCTAAACAGTTCTTTCCTATAGGTTGTGGCCATAACAGCTACAACAAATCTTTCTAATGCCCATTCTTCTTATTCTCTGGTACACTGCTCATATCTTTGTAGATCTTCATGTTATTTATTTGTGAACAATAAGGCAAAGTAGATAATTTGTAATTGGGTACACTAAGGTCCAGGGAGGAAAGGAAGCTACCAAGCTATGTGCCACAACATGACCTTCAGTAGGCACCAACCCCAGCAGGCTTGGAAAGCCAGGGCACATCCAGGGTCAGGAGCCTTTAGTGGCTGAGCTGAAACACTACCATTTGTCATAGTGGTAAGCAGCAAATCTCCCAGCCTCGTTTGAAGATCCCACAATTAAACAGGCAGAGAAATGTATTTCATAAAATATGCATATTGTTTCCTTCCAACAACAGCATTTTAATCTCTCTTAGCTCATAGCCCAAATGAGCAGTGGGAGGAACGATCTTTCACTGCACACTAAAATTGGTTGTCAGCCAGCGCTGTCTTCTGGGGTGAATGCCGATCATGGTTACCGTCACCATCATCACCACTCCACTATTATCATCCCCATCATTTCTTTTTACAGTTGGTGTATAAGTTCACAAGAGTTCTACAGAAGTGCAGACTATGTCTTGCTTTTTCACCCAGTAAAATGTTTGGCACATGCCCAGTGAGTGTCTGATGTGAATATTTTTAAATGGATAAATGAATGAGGTTCAACATAAATCACATTGTTTGCTCTTAAGTGTGACCCCATGAAATGAGCTTCTGTGTGTTACCACATCCTCATCAAATCTAATGCAACAGATGCACAGGACATTGTCTTGAAATAGACCTTGTGTTGTGGCCTGACCTCATGGAGATATATTATGCTTGGGTCAAGTTCCCCTTCCCCATAAGCATCTGATCACCAGGCTCTCTGCCTCAGTTTCCCTCTTGGCTCTGGCTTGCATCCATTCCCACACCCATTTAGCTCCTGTGCCTTGACAGATGAGCTCATTCCCATGGATAATGGCTCCTTGTCAGCACTAGAGCCTGGGGAACAAATTTTTCATTATTGGACAAAGCTGACATGCAAGAACAATTGGACTAAATTGATTGTATTTTCCAAATCATCACCCAGCTTCTAATTCTATCTGTGAGATGGACTAATTTGAACTAGAATTAGCTTCTAAATTGAGAATCCAAGCCCTTGACCAGGAGGGGAGAAAGGGTCCTTGTGTCATCCAGCAAGGAATAAGTCTACAGACCTCCCAGAATTACACATTCAGGGTAGACCTGGTCACACTGTCTGTTTGCTCTGCCTCCATCTTCCATCTCCTCCACACTTAGTTGAGCCAGCCCAGAACCAGCTCAGATCAGCAGTGGCACCGATTCTGGGTCTATTGTCACCCCACATGCAACCACAGCAATGGATGGCAGTAGTCTAAAAGAAGCCTCCTGCCCCAGAAGCAACCACTTGTTGTTTCTAAACTCCTATGGATTCTTCATCCTTCATCTCAGAGACAAACTGGTCCTACTTCTGTTTCAACCCAATGGCAGAGGTCCCATGGCCTTCCACCTTCCCATTTCATCTCCAGTCTGCTCCCTACAGAAGAAAGCCCTTCTTAGTCAAACTGAAACCTGCCTCCCTTGGGGACTTGGGGATTTGTCATCTCAAACAGTGCTCCTCAGACTTAAAATACCCAGGAAATCTTCTGACTAGTATATGATTAAAGTGTAGATTCTGATTGAGGAGTCCCAAGGTACTGCCTTTCAAAGTGATGAGGATGTTTCTGGCCCACGAATGTCCCTCGGAGTAATAGCAAGACCTCTCAAGCACTGGCCAGCTGTGTGTGAAGGTGGGATAGTGCTCACCTTTAGATAGGATAGTGCTCATGTTTACATGGGATGGTGCTCACCTTTAGATTTTTCTTCACCAGGATCAAAGATATGCATTCTGTTAAGTGCAGAGAAGACAGGTTTTAGAAGTTCACAGAAAGTCAAGTCTAGATGGAATCTTCTCCTCCAAAGGAGTCTTGTCTAATTTTGTTCATTTTATAAAAGAGGCAACCGATGTCCACAAAAGTCAGAAGAACCACTTACAGAGACAAAGCAAGCAGAACCTAGAACTAGATGTGGGCAGCTAAGTTTCTCTTCTCTGAAACTTTACTGTTTGCGGAGGAGGAGGAGGAAAAGGAGGAGGAGGAGGAGGAAGAGGAGATAGGATGACGATAAAATGTGGTGTACAGCTGCTGTAGGAGATAGTAGCACAGAGATGTGACATTCCTAGCCTTGTTCCTGAAGGTTAAGAATGGCTGGGGTTTGTAGCTCCTGCCAGGGCATAAGGGTTGGAGCTGTACAGTTGTGTGCAAAGAAGAAGGCAACTGTCAGGGAAAATACACAGTGGAGACATATGGAAACAGGCCACTAGAACCTTCTATGGAAGAGAAAGAGATAATAAAGGTGGAGGGAGGAAGGAATTGGATCCCTTCAGACATTTCAGAGAAAATAGGCATCTGTAGTCCCATTCCTGCAGTCCTTAGCCCTCATCCTCATAGGATATTTAGGCCTCTGCATAGCATCTGCTCTTTGCATAGATGCTTTCTCATTTCCATGCAGTAAGCATCTCAGGGCCAGGAGCAAGATCTGCACAGTTATGTCCAAGCACCTATCCCAAGTCCTTGCATATAGTAGATACTTAATGCATATTTGTTGCATGCCTAAATACTGAATAAATATTTAGAAGTAGGATGTCAAAATGCAGGACTGTACATCCTAATAAAGAAAATCTGGTTACTATAGACAGAAGTACAGATTTTGCTGTCTGGTAATTGAGCTGAATGACTTTGGCTGCACACAGTGAAGGAAGTTATATAATGAAGGCAACTCCTAGTTTGTGGATTAAGGAAGGAGGTAGATGTACAGGGTACATTTCTTAGGAAAAACTAAGAGTTTTGTCTTGGGCATTAAGTTTGAGATATATATTAGATATTTCAAGAGAGATGCTAACAGTTGGATGTGACTGGTCTTCTTGGGTCCAGAGAAGCTTTAGAAGGCTGCAGAGGTAGGTCTCTCTCTCACTCTTATACTGGGAGGGGTAGAAGCAGGGTGATTTCCTCTTGAGCATCTATAGAGGGAAGACAGCTTACCATGCTCTTGGAAACTGAGAAGCTTTGAAGGCTCACAGGTATGCTGTGGAGAATGAAAACACAATAAGGCAACTATCAAGAGGGAGGCGTAGCCAGAGCACCCAGCCAGGCTGCTTCAGGCTGTAGGGCAAACCTCGGAGCTATGGGAATTATAAAACTAAAGACTGGGGGAAGAGGCAGCCACAGTACAATGAATAATTTCTGGCACTAAAAATCCTGTTCTCCAATTGGAAAATTTGGTAGCTAAGTTAAAGGAGATGGCAATGATTGAGAAGTAAATTAGTGGCTTCTAAGATCTGAGGGAGAAAGAAGCTCAATCATAGAATACAAATTAGTTGAAAATACAGAGGAGAAATAGAATATTTGGAAGACAGATTCTGAAGACTGCTTGTAAAATTTGGAAAAACTGGATAAAGAAATATCACTAAAAAAGAGAACAAATGCAGGATTTTGTTTTTGGTTGGCCAAATACTTAACTTGAGAGATTCACGGCCAGGCCCCAAGTGGCGCTCCAGGAGTCCAATTGGCGAGAAAGAGGAGGGTTTGTATGAGCGAGAATTGTTGAGACCAAGATTGGAAAAAGCACAGGGACAAATAGCCAAACAAATGGAAGCACATGAACTATGAACCAATAGCTGAGGACCCCCCAACTGGATCAGGCCCTCTGGATAAGTGAGACAGTTGATTAGCTTGATCTGTTTGGGAGGCATCCAGGCAGTGGGACTGGGACCTGTCCTCAGTGCATGAGCTGGCTGTTTGGAACCTGGGGCTTATACAGGGACACTTGACTCAGCCTGGGAGGAGGGGACTGGACCTGCCTGCACTGAATCTACCAGGTTGAACTCAATCCTCAGGAGAGTCTTTGCCTTGGAGGAGATGGGAATGGGGGGTGGGCTGGGGGGAAGGTGGGGTGGGGGGGCGGGAAAGGGGAGAACAAGTGAATCCGTGGCTGATATGTAAAATTAAATTAAATTATAAAAAAAAGAAAGAGGGAAGGCAAGAAGATCATGCAATTAATAAAATGAAGTGTATATTTACTTAGAAAAAAAAAGAAAGTCTGAAATTAGAGGTAAGACTGACAAAAATGTCCTACCCAGGCATGCCTTTGGAGAAGCTCAGGGGTGTGTCATCTTCGTCACAACCCCTACTGATCCCAAAGAGACAGGTTCCTTTACCTGAGCATGCCATTTCTCTTGGTAGCTGGCCCAAATGGGGCCTTGTGGGAAGGCTCATCCTTGGAGTGCAGGGATGCTGGGGCATCCACATGAACACGTAAGCTGTGTCTCATGTGCATACTAGTGAAAAGGGAAGCCTCAGGGCTATGGGCCTGTCTACAAGCCTAAGCCAGCTGGATTGACACTCGAGGTTATCTTTGCCCACTCCCTTTCTTGTGTGTGCATGCCAGTTTGTCCGAATGGCTCCAGGATATAACAGAACTCTGAGAAAGTAATGGTTAAAAACTGGGCAATGATTCTACACCATTGGGTTGTCATGATTAAGGTACTTATGTGGAGACACCACAGCATCAATTTGTAATGCCCCTGATATTAATTTTAAGGTACCAGGCAGAACACTTCTAAGCAAAATACATGGTAATCACAACAAATCATTGAATACAACAAACCTTTGTCAGCAGCTTTTTGGACTGGGATGGGCACCAAGAAGTGTCATCATGGCATCTCCTCGAGTCCTTGTGCTTGCCTTAGGATGTCTTATTTTGACCTCTGTGATGTGCTGAGGGCATGTGAGCAGGGAGGGTATATGAATAGGTAACAGTGTGTAGCGATATATAGCTTAGCCTGGCAATTTGAATTAGGAGAACTTGGCAGACCATAAGGTCATCTGGTATACCACAGTCTTCCAACCTTCAAGGCTCTTGTGACAGGAATGATAGTCAATAAACGGACACATCACCTACACTTTTTAGAAATTACAGTCTCACTACATGCTAGCAATACTTTCAGGAGATAGATCAAGGTATAACTTACTCTACCCATTTTATAGGCAGGAGAATTGAGGCTCTTGTTAAAGGAAATAGCTGTAAGGCCCAGGTGGGTACAATTCTTTACCCCCTATGAATCTGAAACCTTGCTGTGGTTTTCTTGTAGGCAGTGTGTTTCTCATTCTTTTACTGTGGACTTGGCTATGTAATTTCCTTCGGACATTAAATGGGCTAGAAGTGTCAGGGAACTGAATCTGATCCTGGGCCCAAAGGGACTGTATGGATTTCCACATTGCCCTCTTCCACTGTTGCTGTGGCTATGAGAGGACTTAGTGCACTCTCAGCCTGGACCCTGGATAAACACATGAAGAACAGACTCCCACTCCCACCCTCCCAAACACTTCTAGGTCTACAGTTGGAAGCTAAGCTGCCTCTATTGACCACTGATTTCTGGGAGGAAGTGCCTATTATTGCACCCCATTGAGATTATGTGGGTTATTCTTGTTATGTGGAATTATTACAGCAATATGAACTGATGCTTTTAGAGAGTTTATGTTACCAACACTTCAGTTTTCTTGTGCAAGAGAATCACCCTGGGCTCCTGTTAAAATACTAATTCATAGAACCCTGGGAGATTCTGGTCCACTCAAGTTTAGAGGAAGTTGGCTTTTTACAGTTCTGGGACAGCCTGTTTGCTTTTACTGCACAGGGGATGGACAAAACTCTGTGATTTGCCACACTTTCACCTGTGGCTGGTAGGCATGGAGTACATTTACAAATCCAGGGCTTTTGGCTCCCAGAGTACAAATATTTCCCCCCTATATACAGCTCACGGAATGCAAGTGCAGTAGGGGCAGCCCATTAGTATTGAGACTTGGCTAAGTCTGCGTGCTATGAATGGCATAGTTCTAATCTAGCAAATTGTTCGAGGAACTTGGTTAATGCTGTACTCACAGCTGCAGCATCTTGAAGGGAGCTGTTTCTCCCTGCACATGCACACACGCACGCGCACACACACACACACGCGCACACAGGCACATGCAAGGCGGCGGCACTTTTCTTTCTGTAAGGATCAAATTGGCCTCCTTGTTCTGACTCAAAGCAGCTGTTTATTTGTTGTTCTCGTGTTTTCAACTGTTGTGATGAGGTTTGCTTCCTTCTTCTTTAACTGAATTACGTGCAGTTTAGCTCTTCAGTACAAGCTGCAGAATGAGCTGAATCCTTCTATCTTGTGAGCTCCAGATTCCCCCTCATTCCATAGTCCAATTAGAGCAGCACTGACGTCGGGTACCTAGGTCCAGAGGCCCCCACAGGGAAAAAGGACAGAAATGTAGGGTGTTCCTTCAGCTGCCGCTGCTTCTTCCCTTCATCTATTGGTGGGAACACAGCTCTGAGTGGGCCAGGCAGGCAGTTGGGGTCGGGGGGCCTACAGGAGCTCCTTCTCTCCCCATAATGTGTCCCCAGGCCCATGGTTAGAGAGTAAACTGGGAACTCAAACAGCCAGATCTGTCTAGTTAGTCTAAGTTTATGTTTGGCTGATGACACTGAGCTGACTTATGACAGCTGAATGGAATTTGTAGGAACTATCTCATAAACAGAAAATAAAGGGTGTTGAAATTCTGGAAGCATAGACCAAATATCTCAGAATCTTCCTTTGCTCTCATGGGCCTCAAGTTCAGACATAGACCTCAAATGGGCCAGAGAAGCTGTGCCACTCAAGAATTCTTTTCATCTTCTTGTTGCTGGGCTCTGGCCTTTGGTCCCGTTCCTATCTCCCAATAGGATAGGACCAAGGCTACCTCCACAGTGTGAGGCGGTTGCAGAGGGCTATATACTCGTTGCCTAGGAGAGTGCTTGCTGTGTGGCCACCAGCAACTGCTTCCCTTTGCTGAGATTGAGAGTCTTAACACTGAAATGAACTGGGAAAACTTGCTAGATGTAAATCTCTAACTCCAAATGTATGTAATTTGCATTCACGTCAATCTCTCAGCTTCAGCACTTCTTAGTAATCCTGAAATGTCAATTTTGTATCACCATGAGGAAGAACTTTATTTTCGGCTTTCACAGATAGCTGGGGGAGAGCCCAAAATATGGCAGGTGGGAGCAGTTGCTGGTGGTCACACAGCAAACAATCTCATAAGGAAGCAGTGTATATCCCTCTGCACCTGCAGCACATGGTGGAGGTAGCCTTGGTCCTATCCTATTGGAAGACAAGAAGGCAGGGCCAGGAACAAAGGCCAGAACCGAAGGGTAGCCCATCTGGTTGGTAGATGAGTACTCACACACTTGGTGCTGTCTCTCACAGGTGTGTAGAACTGTGAAAAAGGACTCACAGTGTGGCCTGGGGTTTCCAAGTCAGTACAGGAGTGCCAGCATATGGGAGTACAAGAGCTAGAGGAGAGCAAGTGCTGAGCTAGGAACAGAGGCATGGGTTCCTGCAGAGGGAGGTAAGTATGCGCGTCAGGGGCGGAGTGTGTGGGGTCTGCAGGGGGTTCTAACTCTAAGGCGCACATTGCCTATGGGAACCTCCATGTACACTGAGAGCAGACTTTCTGAAGGAAGGACTGGTTTCCTCCTCTTCACTGGGCAACTGGCTGGGGCAATGCTCACAAGAGATGGTGAAGGGAGACTCTGCAGGGCAGTGCTTATTTTCTCCCCTGCCTCCTGATACCCAGTATATCAGCAGCGCAGTGATGTATCCTGTTAGGGTCAGGAGCCTCAGTTCCTGCCTTCTGAACCCCTTACTAAGTAAACCACAGCTCTATACAGTGGGATTAACCGGTGCTTTTAATAACAATGTTAGAAGATCGTATACTTTTCCTTTCCAATCAATCCCCTACAAAGGAATAAACCTCCACGAAGACCTCTATCTCAGAAGGCAGTAAGTCTGTGTTTCCTCCTTCTAGGGGGAAGGAAGTAAGTCTTGAGTGCACCCGCCTATGTGCCTCTGGTCTGTCTAGAGCTCACATGCTCTATGATGTCACTGAAGGATGTCCTTCAGTTGGTCACACTAGGTCTAACAATCAAGGTGGAACTTGAGGGACAGCAAGGGCATTGTCCCCTTGGCACATCTCTGTGGCACTCTGTGACGCTCACTGTTGGGTGTGAGGTTGTGGGGCTGCTCAGGGACCCACCCAACTGTGTTGGCTCACCATTCATTACATTAATTTGCAAATTATTTACCAGCTTTGTATAAGATCAGCACTGTACACATTAATCCTCTAAAGCTTCCTGGAGTTAAGTAACTGTTCCTACAACTCCCTAGAAGCCTTTTCCAATTCCTAGGAGCTCCTGGACTTTAATACATACTGTTGAGTTCTCATATTTGTGGTTATTCTGACAGAATGAATTCTTTTAGTGGAATACCATTTTCTAATTTGGGATTTACAACAACAAAAAAGTCACTTCAGGTAGAAGAAATCAAAACTGTGACTGCCTTGACTCTGGTGAGGCTGCTGGTCCCATATGACAGAGTGATCTAGGGAGCCCCCAACCTCCCTTGTCTTCCAGTGCCTTCCTCAGTCTGCAGTCTGGCTCTCAGTAAGTCTGTTTGGATCTGGTGGCATGCTGGAGGCATAAGCAGAATATGGACCCTCCTCAGGAGCTTGCAGAAAACAGGGGGTTGAGGGGACAAAAGTAATCAGAATCCATATGACCTGGTGCTGGGGTGATAGGGAGATAAGGAGCCACGTGACAGAGCCTGGGAAAACATCCCGCATGCAGGGAATGGCAGATGCTGGACTGATTAAAAGCCCCCATGGCATGCTGCCCACACTGGATCTTTTCTAGAGAGTCAGGAAGTGTATCCGAAGGCTCTGATCCTATTTTCCCCGAAAATACCATTACAGTGAAAGAAAATCACCCAGGAAGAGTCCCCTGGTTCCAGCCCACAGGCAGCTGCCCAGCTGTGCGAGGCAAAGCCAAGCCAGGAAATCACTCATCTTCTGGCTGCCCAGTGATGGAGAACACCCCGGGGGAAGGTTAACACAGGAACATCATCATTAGCATCAGCCGACAGAAGGCCCTTTTCAGGGCCCAGGCAGCCTCCAGGAGCTGCTGTAATGATGGGAATCAGGGGCTAATTACCTCCGACCTGCCCTCAGCACCACCACCCAGCAACAGCAGGCTCTGTAGGCATGCCAGGCAGGCTCTTTCTCCTCTAGTCTGTAAAATTTGACATCTTACCTTAGGATGTGTTTTGCCTGACGAAGGATGCTCACACCCATTGGCTTACTTGTTCATGTTCTCATTGTTGTTTGACTGGTATGAAGAGAAAGGGTCGAGAGGGTCTAATTTGCCTCAGGTCGAGATCAGCGATTTCTTGTTTTTGAATTATATTTCTTTCTGGGTCATCTCTCCTTCTGGCGTGGGAAAAGAAAAGAAAGGCACATCGTCACTTCCATGTGGCGACACATTCCATGTATTAACCCATCAAGCTAGCAATGCCCTCTTACAGGTGTAGCGACTGCAGCTTAGAGATGCTAAATACTTAGTTCAGTGTTGCCGTTCCTGGCGGAGTGCTGAGAATTGGTCCCAGGGCTGTCTCACCATGTCTTTCCTTCTCCGGGATTTCCCCAGGCACTTGAGCTTTTCCTCTCCGCCATTCCTGGTGGGGTTGATACAGTCTATAAGGCTGGATCTGGATCTGTACAGTGGAGCCTTGCGGAGGGAGTCCGTGCCTTCATTTAGGCAGCATTACATGTGGTGGGGCCTCTGCAAAGCCTTGTCCTCTGGGGTTGGAGGCTGTCTCTGAATCAGAACTCATCTCTCTGGTGGTGAGGCATCGGGGAATGGTTTGCCCTGCAATTACTGCAGATAGGATTGTAGACTTCACAGAGTAAGAGGAATGTCCTCAGAGACAGCAACGCTCTCTACAGAGTCTAGGCCAGGGCCACTAATACCTCATCTTAATTTCAAAGTCCAGTAGCTAGTGGGAGGGTCCTCAGTGTCCCCTGTCCCTATGTCCTGCTTTAGTCATCTGGGACACTGACTTGTCCTTGAAGTCACAGTTGTGATGTGTAAAGTAAAATTGCATTTTGCGTAATTGGAGCAGGGCCAGTAAAGGAGAGCTCCCAAAATTTGCTACTCATTGAGAAGACTGACATGGGCAATGTGTGAGTGGCTGGTAGAACTCAGCGAGGAAAGGACTATCAGAATGGTCTGGTCCACCCTACTTAACTCTCAGATGCAGAAACTGAAGCCCTGTGAGGGGGAGAGACAGCTCTGCCTGGCAGGCGGCTGAGAAGACTGTTTCATAATTCCTCCTCCTCCTCCTCCCTTTTCTCTTCCTTCTCCTCCTCCCCCTTCTCCACTTCCACCTTCTCCTCCCCTTTCTCTTCTTCCTCCTTCTCTCCCCTTTTCTTCCCCTCCCTCCCTCCCTCCTCCCCTCTCTCCCTCCCTCCCTTTATCTGTAACTATGTCCTGCTATTTCCTAAATCCTATATCTCATCTTAATTTTGGCTCAATTTACTAAATGATTTCAGATCAAAATGTTCATTTGGGCTGCAAATTAGCTGAATAATTGCTGTATGAATCTCACAGGAGCCCCTCCTTCAGAGATGCCACAGCTTGTGAGCCTGAGCCAGCCTGGGCATTACTCGGCCTGTAGTGGAAGATGTCTGCATGGGGGCAGAGTACTTCTGGTTTCCACCATGTCCGCCCAATGACACCCAGGAGCCTCAGGAAGAGCTGAAGGAAAGGCCGGTAGGAAAACTGAATTGATGAAATTGATTCTCCTCATATTCACATATACGTTTGTTTTCCTCAAAGTCTGACTTCTTTCAGGGTGAGGGGAAGACTTGGAAATAATTTCAAAGTTTATCTGAAAATCAAATAGTTGAAAATAGCCTAGAGTTATGACAAAGACTTTGAATACAGGAAGGCTTATGCATCAGGATGCATCACAAAGTCATTGTTGTGCAAGATGGGAGAACAGAGGAACCTGTTGTATGGAGTAGCCCTGAGAAAGACACTCTTATGGCTACTATGCAGATATCATCAGGACCGGGAAAATGTAAAGTTTCAAACCTCACTTTTTGCTATACAACATGAGGGATATCTGTCCATGAAAGAAAATAAAGCCATTTTAATATTAGAAGCAAATTTAAGCTTGTGCTTACCTCTAAATGAAAAGAAAATTCCAGGCAGAAAAATACTGGAATGAACAACAACAGATTTCACTATTTTAAAAAATCTTCCATCAAAAGGAGTCTGTAATGAAAAGACAAAGCATGAATGTTCTGGATAACTCACCTGTACTGAAACAAAAACCACAAAGACTCTAGTAGGAAAATGGACAAAGACCACAAATACACAACTGGATTAATGACAAATCAATTAAAATTGTTAATCCTTCCATAATATAAAATATATGCAAACTAGCAAAAATGAAAATTCCATTTTCATCTGCCTTATTGACAAATACTTAGAAGGTACATTTTAAATGTGTTTCAGTGTGTAGAGGACGTGAGAAATAGCCTTCTCAGATGATGAGGGATGGTCAGAGGATAAATTGTTACTGTATACATGTTCAACAGAAACCACTCTATATGTTCAAGATAAGTAATCTGGGTTTGAGATTACTTCTTGCGTGACTTGAAAAACTTGAAAGACTTATTTTTTACTTATGTGTATGTATGTGTGCCTGTGTTTTTTGTGTATATATGTTCAGATGTCTATAGAGGTCAGAGAGCATAAGATTTATTAGAACTGGAGTTAAAGGTGGTTGTGAGCTACCTGATGTGGGTGCTGAGAATTGGACTTGTATTGAAAAATACTCAATAACTGAGCTATTTCTCCAGCCCCTTATGGTTTATTGATAATGACAATACATTAGAAATAATTCCCAAGGCCATTAATTCTTTTATTTTTCAAATTTAATAGCTATTAAGGTCTGTTAAAGTTGTTCATTGTAAATACTGTACTAATTGTTGAGGACGCATTGGTGAGTAGGAATCACAATGGTCTTTGTTCTTTATGTATTGTAAGAAACAAGTTTGCATTTGCCAGTTTAGTGGGAAAAGACAAACAATAAATGAATTAGACAATAAGTGATTGTTCAAAAGTTATTGTTGGACACTGAAATTTTTGAACATACTAAATTATGATATATTCTTAAAATAAGGTATTATATGACCATGAAAAGTAATGTTTAAGAAATAATAATGATATCTACACTTCCAACAAATTTCTACTGAATGATTAGTGGGCACAAGGAGCAATGGCCAGCATAGGGAATACAGCCATCAAGCCAGGTGTAGTTCTCACACTCACAGGTCTCCCATAACTAGAAACCATGATACTGTTGATTGAGACTGTAAGAGAAATACAAGACCAAGGCAGTCTATAGGAAAGGCATGGATGGTGAGTGGGCAGTGATGACTTCCCAGAAAGAGTCTTACCCGTGAGGCTGTTTCCTTTTACCACTGCAACACAACTGAATCTGAGTTTATTGTTTCACACATCACACAGGACATCCAAGAGAGAGAGCAAACACTTTGGTTTGGCCGCTAGTGAGGGGCTGTCTCTGTGTGACATCATAGTGAAAGCATGCGTGAAAAGGAGAGATCCTATAGAGCCAGGAAGCCAGAGGGAGAAAAGGGAGAGGGGGGTCCTGCTTTCATAACAACACTCTCACAAGAACTTCCTCTAGGAGATCGGTATTCATTCCTTTAGGGCGGCATGTAATGGACCTCAGTGACTGATGCCCACAGGGCCCAGGGCTAGATTCTCAGCAGCAGAAAAACAAAACAAAACCCAAGTCAACAACAACAACAACAACAACAACAACAAAATAAAAAAGTGAATAGAAGAAGGGAGAGGAAGCAGAAGAGAAGGTGTCCTCAATAATCTAATCACTTTCTGCTAGGTTGAACTCTTCAAATTTCTCTACTACCTCCCAACATAGCTATTCTAGACCACACTTCTAACAGGTGAAACTTTGGAGGGGGAAAAAACTACACAGCCAACTCTAGCACTCTCCAAGCTGGTACCCAAGAGCAAGTAGGAATGAGCTGGGTAAAAGGGAAAGGAGGAGAGATGATGTGTCATTCAGAGGTAGAGCCAGCAGCAACAGAAACAAAAAATAAATGAAGAAGAGAGGGAAGAAAAGAAGGAGGAAGAGGAGAAAGGAGTGGAGAGAGAGAGAGAGAGAGAGAGAGAGAGAGAGAGAGAGAGAGAGAGAGAGAGAGAGAAGAGTACTGTTCAGATCCGATACTGGGCAGTGTGCACAAAGGGCAGGAATCACCCTGCTCACACCCTGTTGCGGCATCAATGGCACAGAAACTGTAAAAGCAAAAACAGTGCATACAGAAATACATGATGGCATTAGGAGTAGTTGGTAGGGTTCACTTCCTACTTTACCCCCTGCTGTGAGGTCAGGACTGGGCTTTGGTGGGCTGCCTTCTTCTTGTACATTACCAAAGATGAGTCCCTCGCTCTGTCTGTGAGTCTGCCAGCGGTGTGTGGAAACACAGAGAACACAGCCCGCTCATCTTGGTTCCACGTACTGTGTTAGCAAATTGCCCAGAGCAATGAGGGATAGAAAGGGAGCCCTTGCCACCCACAGAGAGTAAGTGGAAAATGGCAATTTTAAGATAAGCTGTTTTCAGGAGACCTGGAGGTTTCTGTTTTGTTTTTTGATAGAAAAAGCACTCTGAATCAAAAGTATTCCCACATGGTGTGATGTTGGAGGGTATGGAGTGAGGGTGACTTTCTGAGCAGTTGAAGTGAGGGGCATGTTCTCTAAGTCTGAGGCCCAGCCCACATTTCCCTGAGGTGTGGTTGACGTAGCCCCCTTTAACCAATTCTTCATCTTCTGGTTCATGCTCTTCTGTGGACCAACCATTTCAAAGCTGCCCACTGCTAGGGATGAAGGATGCTCTTGGTGATAAGCCCTCTTTCTATTGCTGCTCAGGTGAAGCCTGCCCAGTTGCTGAGAGCCTGATAAAACAACCGTTCTCTCTCTGTGCATCTTTCCCAATCTCCCCAATTCAAACAGGCACCTCTTCTCACTTGTCTGCCTTTTGCTGTCGTAAAAGCTCAGTTGGCAATTATCTTTTTGCCCTTTATTGCCAGCTGTTTGCCATGGTGTTTATAAACTCTCCTGTTGCGTGATTATAACACTGTTCTCTTTACTGAGAAAGTTCTCTATTCTCTTTCCACTTCCAGGAGGCCCAGCTCAAAGAGCCTGCTCTGGATACTCACGCTTTTTATACCCAGATGATGTTCCCTGAAAGAGAGAAACTATATCTGGCTTCTCTTGGCTTCTCTTGCGGTGTCTAGTTCAGTGGGAGAGGCCTGAAGGATGATGTAATTCAGTGAGGAGCCAATGAAAACAGGAGACTGGGTGAGGGTTTTGGAGGTCTGTTTGGATGTGTTATGGGTTATAGGTTAGCTGTGTTATTCTGCACCCCCTATACTGCGTAGAGTGCTATGTACATAGCAAGCTATTAACAAATATGAATTGTAGCATACTTATTGTTAAATTTATTATTAATGTTATCATTCAATACTGCCATCTCCAGCCAAATATCTGTCACACATTGACAGGTGTTTGATCCATTGGCTTATCATCTTTGGGTAAGAAAACTTCCTTTTGGAGCATTCTTAGCCCTTCAGGATTCCTGTAATAACTAGGTTTAAATGCTGCCCTTTCCCACCTTGGAGACTGGGTTCCTTGACTATTTCTAGCTATTTCTCAGGACTGGATTTTATACATGGGAGTTGTGGTAGTGTGAATGTAATTGGCCCCCACAAGCTCATAGGGAGTGGTAGTATTAGGAGGCATGGCTTTGTTGGGGTAGATGTGTCCTTGTTGGAGGATGTGTGTCACTGTGGGGATGGGCTTTGAGGTCTCATATGTGCTCAAGCCATGCCCAGTGTGTCAGTTCACTTCCTGTTGTAGAATTCTCAGCTCCTTCTCCAGCACCATGTCTGCCTGCATGATGCCCTGTCCCACCATAATGATTATTCTAAACCTCTGAAACTGTAAGCCATCCCATTAAATGTTTTCATTTATAAGAATTGCTGTGGTCATGGTGACTCTTCACAGCAATACAAAACCTAACAAAGACAGGAGTAAAATGCCTATGTAGGCCCTTGTGTCATGTGAAGATATAGGCGATAAGAACAGATGCCCATATCTTCTGTTATTCAAGACTGGCTACCCGTGTGTCACTTCCATCTAGTGCATGAATGAGACAGTGATCAAAGTACCCCAGTAGTTCTCAGGGGGCTAGGATCCACTGCCATGTGTGAATGTCTTTGCTTCTGTGACTCACTATGGAGGCAGAGTTCGGAGCTCTTGGGCCCAGGTCCAGCATCAGCAGTTTACACAGACAGTTCAGCCAGAATTGCGTGGCTTCATCTTCTCTTTGTGCAGAGATGCTCATGTCTCACAGTCACGTCTTATAGCAAGTCTACTGTGTCTTAGGAAAGCTAAAAAGGACAAAACAAACAACTCCGCCAAACCCAGCTCAGTGGAGCCTCATTGTTCTATTGGCTGCATTTACCTGGACAATTTTTATCCCTTGTTCTTTTCTCCCAGAGTAAAGCTGTTTGATCCCAACAACTGTAGGAGAGCATGGCACAGAAATAATTATTTTTTGAAGTTGCTGAGGCATCATGACTATGAAGCATACCCACCTCTCCGGGAGAATAGTTTCTGCTGAGAGCAAATCTTTGAGGCTTCTGCTTCCAGTCTTCCAGAGGAAGGCCTTGCTTGGTCACAAGACAGAGGTGAGGTGGTCACTGCCCAGAGTGGTCCTAGTCCATTGCCTATTTCAGCTCTAGAAACAGGTATCCCATGATGGATTTGAGTCAGAAAGTTCTACTGGTGAAGTATTTGAGTATAAATCCAGGGCAACTCAGAGAATGGGATTGGCTGAGGGTCTAGAGATGAGGGGACAGAGAAGGAGACCACACCTTTCTTTCTTGAATTTAAAATGCATCCTGGATAGTAAAATCAATGTCAAAGACTATTTGAGGCCAGAGAAGATTCCAAGACTTCCAAAAATGGAGAAGGGGTTCTCATCCTTCTCAGATGGGCCAGGCTGATTCTGGAGGCAGGCTTATGGCGAGGGAGGCTTGCCTTCCTTGACCTACCAGGGGCCATCTGAAAGTGTACAAAATTCTACAGCCCCTATCATCCTCTGAGGCAGTGCTACATTTTTTAAGGACCTTTCCCTGGGACATTCTCTACAGTGTGCCTGAGCTGTGTTCTTCCTATGTAGATCTCTATATCATACTGGCCTGCAAGAGAACAGGGCTTGTCCTTTACATTCTGGGAGCTCTTCTAGCCTCTTAGAGTGTCTGTTTGCTCACCAGTGAAATAAGATGTGTTGGTGGGTTCAGCCTCTTCCAGTGTCTTTCCTCTGATTGGTTGCCCTGCTTACGAGTGCATGATGTTTGGTCTGACATTGTCCCTGAACACTGCAGCCTCCATAGTGGGCAAGACAAAGCTTGGCTCCAGGGAAGCCAGGGACATCCGAGCGATATTTCTATCCTACACTTTCTGTACAACCTGTGATTGGGAGAGGAAAATCAAAACCCTGTTGTGGTGGTTGGGTGGGCTCTAGGTTGAGAGGATGGTTGGGTATTAAGGCTCTGGAATGAGAAAATGCATCACACTCTTTCTGACACCTTGGCCTGTGTGGTTAATGTTGGTTTACAGTTCCACCCATAAGTGATCAAGCCGTCTTCTCTCTTCACCCAAGATAAAGTCTGGCTCACCTCGATATGGCCTCCTTTGCTTTTCTCCAAGGCTTTCCTGCCCTTCACTGTGGTCCTAAAACCCCATTAGTGAGATCCAATGGGTTGTGACTTCAGAAGTCTGCTCAAGAGTAGATGGGGGTATATGGGAGGGTTTGGAGGGTGGAGGGGAGAGAAATGTTGAAATTAAATTCCAATATAAAAAATAAACAACAACAACAACAAGAAGCCTGCTCATTGATGGGGCCATCTATTAGGGTGTAAAGTGGAGAGGATACCTCAAAACCTCAAATGGGGTAAGGGGAGATTGTATATCTGCTCTATCTTAAAGTCCAACCAAACTATTATATGGCTCAGCATCAGGGCCAAGAGCTAGCAGAGGGCTGCTGCTTTCTGGATGGATCATTGCAGTAATGGCCTTTCTTTCCTTTGAGTTCTCCCAAAGTTGGATGAACCTTGTGGACTGACTTGGTGGACATAGTGAAGAAACCCTCTGTCTTCAGTGACTGTCTATGGGCCACTCTTCCAATTGGGCTTGGGAAGGGCAGACTGCTGCAACCTTTATATTCTTGTGGCACCAGATTCTCTCAGGACCAGGGCTGGCTTTCTTCTCTGGACCAATGCTGGTTTTCTTCTCCAAGTATGGAGAGAATGCAGTGGATTCTGGTGCTTTGAAGAGGAGCATAAGGGAGGGATGAAAAAGAAACACATGCAATAAACCATATCCTTCAAATGTCTTGTGTGATGGGTCCAAAGGTGGATATACACTGCACATGGACTCTAGCTCCTACCCAATGAGGGCAGGATAAGGAAGGCCAGAGAAGACAACCACACTCATTCGCTTCCATCTGATGACAGAAGAAGAGTCATTCTGCCAAGCAGATGACACACCTGACTGCCCTGTCCCTCTGGACACTCATGCAGGTGCATCCTGTGGCAAATACAGCCCTTATCTGTTTGGTTCATTCATTGGTGAGGCCCCCTTTGGCTTCTTTTCCTCCTTAGCTTTTAGAGGCAGCAGCCCTAAAGCGCTCTTCTCATCCATGTCTCCACAGAGCTCATCCCCTCCATAAAATGTCAGGATGTTTCACACTAAGGGACAGTATGACCCTTGTTTTCAAACTGAGAGACTGATGCTAGAAAAGCTACTTCTGTCCTGAGAACCAGAGTGACCTCTGCCTCTAGTGACAATATTCAATGGAAGTCATCTCCTTCTAGCTCCTGTGCCCCTCTCTCTTACCCCAGGTCTTTTTGGTGACTATGTGTGACAGGGGCCTCATTCTCACCTCCTTTCTGGCTCCCTGCCTGTGACCCAGGCATCTGGCTGCACCATCCAGCCTTAGCAATAAGCCCTGCCTAGGTTCCTTGAAGGCTGCAGCCAGATTAATCATCCCAAGGCTCTGCTTTGATGATATCCCTTTTATAGACACATAAAAAGAAGCATTTAGGCAGCCAGTCATGCTAAATCTTAACCATCTTTACAGAATTTTTAGTGCGGCACATCAAGATTGTCACTAGCCCTGAAGGTCCACATTTATGGTGCCCATGAAGTCACTTCTGGGCAGGAGGTGGCAGTGGCGGCCATTGCCCACTTGGCATATCACATCCACGCTTGGCCTGGTTATGTAGCATGCCTCTCCTTGGACCTACAAATGTGCCTTACAAATCATATCATGGCCTCATTGCCCTTAGTTTCCCCAGGACTTGCTGTTTTAACATGTTCAATACTTTATATGTGACTCCTTGTTGATAAGTAAGTAGTCACATCATGGCATGTGCAGATGTGCTTTGTTGACTGGTCTGCAAGCTTTTGAATACGCAGATTCAACACAAACTCCCTCTTGCCCCTAAACTGTGCATGGCGATTGTTGATTATCGGGGAGTTCTGTCTAATAAGTGGAAATTTGCTCCCCTGGCCTGTGTATGCTGCCTGGTGGAGACTGAGTTGATGCTGATTCACAGGGGCACTGACCACCAACTGGACAGTGTGCTGTCTTTGTTCTCTCCCTGATGGAAGCATTCCCATGTGTGGCAGGATGTGAATGGAACGAGTCTCCTGCCTCTCACCTTTGGAATTCAGAGGAAGAAGGCCCCTTCCCTTCTCCATGTTAAGGGAGAAGGAAATCTAGCTGTTAATTTCAGCAGAGATGGTAGTCCTTTTCAGCCATGCCAGGACAAGATGCCTACTGCAGGAAGTGCAGGCTTCTCTGAGTGTGCTCTTAGTCCTGGGGCACCCAAGGCGAGGGCAGGGCAGGCTGGAGCCTTCTTGCCTTTGAGGAGTAGTTGAGAGGAGGGCAGCTCTGTTATGAACTGCAGCCTTAGCCTGAGCCTGTGAAGGGAGCTGGCACTGCTATGCCATTAAATAATTAACTGGTACTTCGTAGAGTAAAACACGCCTTGGTCTGGGTAAAAGGCTAGATTAATTGCTTTCACTTAAGCTGTGTATTGTGCTTCCAGGAGGGCAATAAGAAGGGAGAGAATGTGGGTTTGAAGGCAAGCTGAGAGGCAGTTTCTCAAAAGATGACAGATGCCCCTCTTCTCAGGGAGTTGGGTTTGTTTAAATAGACACCGAAGTCGGTAGGATAGCAGGGTTACCTATCCTGGGCTCTGGTCACCATCCATAGGCTCTGTATGAGCCTGGGTGAGGGACATGGCGATCCAGATTTTTGCTGATGGGTGGCATGTGACTGGCTGCCTCTGATGGGCTGACCTACTTCTGTAACAGAAGAGACACCATCGGGCTGCTTTTTTTTCTGATGCTGTGGTTGGAAAAGCTCTGAGTCATTACACACCTGCTTTCTGGGCCTCGCAGAAGATGCTCGGTGTTTACAGCAAGGGCATGTCCAGGCCATGGACATTCACAGTTGCCTGTGATGTTGCTCAATACACGAGGTAATGAGGGGGGTAGGGGGGAGGCACAGGGTCAGAACTTGCTTCGCTATCCACAGCTATCATTTGCTGCATCACCCCCCACCACATGTCCTGTCTTTAAGGATAGAGGCTTTCCTTCCTCTCCAGGCTTTCTGCCCTGAGTACAGTATCCATGGACTCTGCCACCAGATAGCCTGGCACATTTGCCACCATGTAGGTGGAGCCTTCTGGAGTTGTGCGGTGAGGAGCCTGGACAGTAGACACATGAGAGTTTGTTTTGAGTGGAAACTGATGATGGAGAAGTTAACCAGGGGGACAGAGATGGTTTAAACAGCTGGAGGCTAGCTGCAGGAGGTGAAACTCCAACAGGACATTAGTACATTTCAGTTCTATCCTGAGCTGAGTTGGGGACTCTGGCATTCTGGGTGTTACCATTCTTATTAGCATAGACCTCCTTCACCAAGAAGGGCTTTCTGTCTGGAGTGCTTCCCCCTGTGGGGTTGCTACGTGTGGCTCCTAGGTTTAGGCTCAATGTCAGTGAGTAGAAGACTCAAAGATCTATACGTGGTTATTCTTGGAAAAGAGACCCAGAAATACTGCAGGTGGAATGAAAGGGAACATTTCTTCAAGAAACTGTCACATCTGTGAAGCACAGAATGGCTCTGTGTGTGTGTGTGTGTGTGTGTGTGTGTGTGTGTGTGTGTGTGTGTGTGTGTGTGTATGTGTGTGTGTGTGAAGAAGTCTGGGAGGGATATCCATAGGGCAAGAGGGACAGGTAAATGCACTCAGCCACACAAATGTTCAGTGGATTGGAACTGAACTTCAACCAGGCCCAGATTGGGGATGCCAACTCCAGGCTGGCCCAGCTGGGCTGCATCTGCCTGTTATCTACACTTTGGGTCTGGGCCTGGCAATCCTCCTTTGGGGTACAGAGTGCTTTCTCCAGCTGCAGGACTGTTCCTCATTCACAGTGTTTTGTGGGGAGGATTGCTAAACTGTACCTGCAGTCTGCAGCATCTTCCACTCTTCCCTGACGTCTTTCCCCAGGGCTTCTAAGAAGTTCATGTCATGACGATAATGTTCCAGTGATTCATAGGAGTGGGCTTGGGTGTCTATATGGGACTCGGCAAAAAATATTGATAGCATCTTTTACGTCGTCTAATGTGTATGAGAAATTACAAAATATACAGTTTTAAGAAAGATGAAATAATATTAGACAAATAATAAAGGATACCACATAATATATTTGTATAAAACTTATAGAAATCTGTAAACCCTTTTAAGTGAGAAAGCTGAACTGGCTTTCTTTCCTCAGCACAGCCCTTTTAATATGTCAGTGTCCATGTTCAATGGCGCTACACTGCAATTCACACCTCAGACATCGAGATCATTTGTTCAGATTCCAGCTAGATACCCGTGACAAGGTAACTTGTTCACACGAGTAGGTGTTAAAAGTTTTAAAACCATTTTTACAGCCATTCAGAATTTTACAACAGCTGAAATTATATTTAAAGCCTCGAATAGTTCTTCCTTTTCTTTCACCAATAAAAGTAATGTTGGGATGCCTTGTAATAATACCGACAGAGTTCTTACTATACTTTTCCAAAGCAGGCATTTGGAAAAACAGAGACTGTGTGCACTGCTAGAGAGAATGGCTAGCTTGGATGATAAATGACATGACCCCTGGGCGCAAGTGGACAGCCAGTCCCAGGTGCATCATACAGATATCCTGCTCTCAATCTACAGACAACTGCAGCAAGTCCTGGCCCAGCCCCAAGGAAGCCTTTGGGCTCCCTCAGGGGAGGAGACAGAACCCCCCCCCCCCCCACACTGCTGGCCAGGAGGAGAGGCTGCTGGAGCATAGTGCAGTTGGTAGAGTTCCTCCTTGGCCATACTCCCAGTACCACCCTGCTGGGTTTGAGCTACCCTGAGAAGCCACAGGCAGAAGCTCAGACCTGCTGGGCTAACCTGGTGTTCTATCTTCAGGACTGACTGCTAGCTGTCCTGGCCCACTGACCTGTCCCACCGCCCTGTGAGAAGCTGTTTAGCATATTGTGCGTGGTGACAGTTCAAGACCCCCACTGTGCCACTTACCCTCCAGCTCTTCCTCCATCTGCTGCATACTGAGCAGACTCCACTCTTGCTCCTCCTTGACGGAAGAAGCAGGGATTCTTCAGCAGATCCCCCATTTCTTTCCTTTTGTATTTCGAGTGCTTTGTCCCTTAACTTTTTTCTTTCTCCTACTTTTTAGTAATATTTAAAAATTTATTTTTTGAGATTTTCATGTATGTATATAATGTGTTTGGATTATATCCATCCCTACTACCTCCCATCAGCTCCCCCGTAAACCCCAAACACATCTCCCTCCCAACTTTATGCTTTCTTCCTCTTTAAATAATTAATAACCTGTCGAATTCAGTTAGTGATGCTCATAGGCACATGGGTGTGCAACTGTCCACTGGGGCATGGGCAGCTTGCCTGCGGCTACATCATCCCTCTGCCTTCAAAGCAATTCTCTTTCCCTCAGCAGTCAGCCTTCAATGGAGAATAGCCCCTAAGCTAAGGATGGAGCCCACCCCCTGACCCCTGCTGTTTGATTTTGTGTAGGTCTTGGGCAGGTGACCACAACTGCTGAGTTCATGTGGGGGATGATCTTGTCAGGTCTAGAAGACAGCCTCTCAGAGATCTCTTCGCCAAGGTCCTGCTCTTATACATTTTCAACCTTCCCTTTCTGCAACGTTCCTTCAGCCTTTGGTGTGGGGAGATCGATAGACATGGCTTGTCTATGGCTGAGCACCCAGAGTCACTTTTTCTCAGCACTTTGAAAGTGACAGATCTCTACGTTAACCATCACCAACTGCCAAAAGAAGCTTCGATGACTGAGGCTAAGGTTTATGTCCATGGGTATAAAATTAATATCTAGAAGGCAGTTTGACAACATGACCATTTAGCAAGGCAACACTAGTATTCTTCCCTAGGGCCTATGAACTCCCCAAACATGGGCTTTTGAACAGGCTTATAGTACCAGGCGTGAAATCCCTCCCATGAAACAGGCCTCAAATCCGATCAGAATGCAGCTGGTTATCCCCTATAACTGCTGTGCCCTGACTACACCAGTGGGCACATCTTGCTCGGCAGATTGGTATTGTAGCATGCAGAGGCCAGTACTGAGACCACTGAAGTCATCTTCCTGCTCCCTGGCCCTCCTTTAGCAGCCTGTATAACACCTTCTGATACTATGGAAGCTAGCCATCAGGTAGAGAGTTTCCCAGTCAGTTCAAGATTAATTTCTCTGTGTTCTGCCAAAAATGTGTCATGTCTTCAGCAATAAGGTCTTGCCATCTAGTTATGGTGGCCAACCAAGAACAGTGGCAATAGCCTGTATTGCTTTGGGTGCTTATAGGGTCCCCCTGCCCAAAAACTCATAGGGAAGTATCCCAAGCCCGGCACTAAGATTTTCATTTGACAACCCACATCTTCTGGGAGCAGCATTGTCCTCCCACACAAAGTACCTCAGTTCAGACTCCCTTTCTGAATTATGTTTTTCAATTAGCTTTCAAATTAGTGTGTTTCCATAAGGCTTCATACATCCTTAGTTTGGGTCAGCCCCATTCTCCCCTCCACTTTCCCATCCTCTAGCTCCATTCCTGCTTAATCCTTTCACTCCCAGTTTCCCCCTTTATTCTTTTATGTGATACATGTTCTATTGTTCCCCTATAATAATATTTCTTACTTGGGTTGCAAGATCACAGGTTTTTACATACCTTTTCCATACATCCTTCATTTTTGTTATGCTTTTCTCTGTTTCCTTATTTCCCTTTCTTCTTACTCCCTGTTCATGCTTGAAGCATTCTGCCCTGGTATTCCACCTTTCCACTTCCCTTTTACCTATATTTTACTGCCTTGCCTTTGGTCCATCCACCCTCTTTCTTATATTTTTATTTGCAAGTGTGTACACTGCCTACAGTGTGGGTGGCATGGATGAAGATGAGGCTTGATGTCTCATCTGACTCTCCATGAGTAGGTTCTCTCTAACATCTCCCACACTTCTCTCCTCTCCATTGCCACCCAATAAGCAGTGCCCAAGACGCTCTCCTCTGGGAGACCGCTGATACCCTCTTTTCCTACCCTGTTCTTGATGTTTTCTTCACTGTCTGGCTTATCTGAACATGGGTTGCTGGGATTCTCCTGTTCCTCTCTGCTCACTCAGCCTTCAGCTTCATGCCATCTGGATCCTTCAGCAACACACAGCAGAAACTGCTTTCTCAAAGGTCACCGGAGACAGAAGCACCAGCCTGATGGCATTTCCTTGGTCTTCTCTTCCCGCCTCTCTGCGTGATCAGACGTTGATGATTGCCTTTCATGTCTTAGTTCTTCCCTGTCTCAGCAGCGTGCTTCCCTTGGCTCCTTTCTTAGTCACAAGGGCTCCTTTTACCTCTGCTGGGAGGATCGGCATTGAAAATGAAGACCTTTGCAGCAGGCGAGAAGGTGGGGCCCAGCGGGAGAGGCACAGGACCTATTCTTTCCTCCTCCTGGACATGGGGACACCAATGGAGTTATCCTTACTGCTTTGAGCTTCTGTTCCAATTTTATTCCTTGCCATTTCAGGGTAGTGAGCCTTCACAGCTGGCAGAAATATACCTTGTGTCTGTTTAAGGATCAGCAGAGAACAGATTAGTGACCAGAGCCCGTTTTTTTTCTGGATCAGTAACTTAGATCAAATGCAAATCTCCAGAAACAACTCACAGCCCTGCTGCCCATCAGCCTCCCAGGCAGAGAAGCTGAACTAATCTGTCTGGCACCCAGGCCGATGATGCTCTCTCTAGAAGGTGTGTGTGCTGGCATCCTCTCTCCCTGTAGCTAGCTGACTAAGAGACAAACTGTCTTCTGCTTCCTGCTCTCTCAGCAGTGCTTAGTGTCTTCACTAGTCAGCACATGGAATCCAAAAGTTAGATCAGACTAGTTCTTGTCTCAAGCTTGCCCCAGAACAGGGCCTGGGTACCATCTGTCTAGTGGACAATAAAGCTGAGTAACTGAGATGGGATTAGTAGGAAAATGCTGCTTCTCCAAGGTGCATGACCAAGCCAGCTCCTGGGGTTCTGGGAACCTCTGGTAGATGTCTTCAAGAGTTCCCTGAAAGAGGAGCCAGGAAAGTGGAGAATGGTCCCTGGAACATTAATGTGATCCACTCCCTGACCTCTGGGAAGAGCAGAAGTCTAAGGATTAATGCCAGAAACCCTCTTCAACAGTAAGATTTGAAGAGCACCCTGTGGTTGATCAGAAGGGGAACAGAGAAGTGGGACCGCTTTCCCCCAATGTCAGACCCTAAGTACCCCTTCACTTGACTGCTCATCTGTGGTCTGTAGAACAAAGTGGTAAACACAAGGAAAGTGTTATGGGTCCCAGAAACAAAGCCAGCAAAGTAGCACCCCCAAGGGTGTGGTCATTTTCGTCACAGTGACCAGAAGTGCAAGCGACAGTGTGTAGTTTGTCACAGGCACGTGCTCTGGTGGAGACAATCTTAGGAACTGGACCCTCGTGTATGTGATGGGACACCAAGTCTAGGGAGACAATGTCAGAAACGAATTATTAGACACCATAGCAGCATCAAATACAACACAGCTTGATGTGTGTGTGTGTGTGTGTGTGTGTGTGTGTGTGTGTGTGTGTGTGTATGTGTGAACCCTTTTCACACCAGGTCACCTAAGTGAGAGAGCAGAGAGAAGAAAATCTGATTTTTTTTCTTTATGAAAAGTGACCCGTCCAAGATCCCACTGCCAATAGTCAAAGCCGGCCTGCCATCGTTGACTCTGGAACTCCTTCGCTCAGCTCAAGGTACAGTAGATGGTGTGGGTGACAGTAGGGGTGGCACTTACAAGGTCACCAGACCTCCGTATACCACAAGACCATAGGTCTGCCATCAGTGAGTGTCTAAGTCCAGATGCACAAAACTGCAGCATTGAAGACAATGGGGGCAGAGCCTGGCCTTGGGCAGCCATGGGTCGGTCGCCAAGGCTGCGGTGGTGCCTGCCAGCTGCACTGTGAGCTTGCACATGGAGAAGACAGGAAGGAGAAGTCATGTGCACAGTGCAGATAGCCTGGGACTCCAGAAGGGTTCAGGCTCTCCTTTATATGCACAGGGTCTCAGGAGAGCTTTCAGTGAGACCTTCGACCTTCTCTTCTTAGTGATGAAGAACTGTAGCTGGCACCAAGGCCCACCACACGTCTTCATTGCTGCAACATGCAGTCAAATAACAAACCACTGCATATTCAATAAGAGCTTGAGCATTCTCAGTAGACTCTCTGGCTCTCTCCTGGGCTCCCTGAGATAAACGATCTCTCTAGTTATTGTACTGTGTAGATAGATAACTGGGCTTGATGCTCCACAGCCATCAATCAACAGGCAAGGGGAAAAGTACAGTTTTGTTATTGTTGTTGTACTGGAGATTGAATCCAGGGCTCTCACATGGTCGACAAGTACTCTACCACTGAGCTACATCCTCAGCCCAATACCCAGAATTCCAAAGCCACCCTTGATTATGTTTGAGGACTGTTCTTGAAGAAAGAGGTAAGAACATGCTTACCAGTCTGAGTCCTGGACCCCTAGATCCTGCTTTGGCACAGGGAAACACCACAGGTCTCTTGCTCCTAAAGAATCCATCCTGAGAGCCTTCGGAGTACTCCTTAGTGGTCAGCTGGGGAGAGAGGGCCTTGCCATCTCCAGGCTGGAGAGAGGAGGCCTATGGCTACTCAGTGGGTAACAGGGCGATAAACTCTGTGCAGTTGGCAACATTTTAAAAGGCGACCCAAAGCCTATTGAAAGATGCAATATTTGTCCAATAATGTGTTTGAGATCAGGAAGGGTTTCATAGTGTTTATCCAAGGGTATAAAATGTTAATAATCTTTTTGTGAGTTGAGACTTTGACTTTCTTTCTCTACTATTGACATGGTGCACTGCCTTATTAGGTGTGAGATGTGTGTGTACACACATATACCAGTTTCCTTATCAAAGGATCCCTCTGCCCGGAGTGGGAGTGTCAGCAGCTGTTCCAGACTTCTCTGCTTGTGACTTCAATGTGGCCTGTGTCAGAGGTGTGTCAACGATGCTCTTCCCCATGTGCCCATTGATTCACCCACCAACAGCTGCCATGGGGCAGTAACTTTGGAAACCTGGCCCTGTCTTGGCACGAGTTGAAATGGCCAGTGTTGGAATGGCAGCTGTTGGTCCTCAGACAGGTCTTTCTAAAAAGCCCCTTCTTCTTCTTCTTCTTCTTCTTCTTCTTCTTCTTCTTCTTCTTCTTCTTCTTCTTCTTCTTCTTCTTCTTCTTCCTCCCTTCCTCTCTTCCTCCTCCTCCTCCTCCTCCTCCTCCTCCTCCTCCTCCTCCTCCTCCTCCTCCTCTTCTTCTTCTTCTTCTTCTTCTTCTTCTTCTTCTTCTTTTGGTTTTCGAGATAGGGTTTCTCTGAGTGCCTGTCCTGGATCTCGCTCTGTAGACCAGGCTGGCCTCAAACTCATAGAGATCTATCTAGCTCTGCCTCCCGAGTGCTGGGATTAAAGGCATGCGTCACCACTGCCCAGAAAAGCCCTTTATTCTTAAGAACCTACAGTTTTCCCATCAAAATTTTGCAGGGCTTTCAGAACTCTGTCTGGGACCGGGGGCCGGGGGAAGGGGCACTGAAACTTTTGCTAGTCTCCATGGCCACCTCTGAGAAGTGCTGGAACTTGTCATGAGTGAGCATGTACACCTTTGGTTGGTTAGACTTGGCTTCCACACACCTGCTTTGTTCTTGGACTCACTGTAAAGCAGGGCCAGTTGCTAAAGTCCAGTGACACTTACTTCTCTGTGGAACAGGGAACACAGCAGTGCCCCTCAGTACAACTGATATGCCCATTAAGTGAAGCAAAGTGTGTGGGGCTCTGAAGCTAGATACTACCACATTGCCAGGGCCTGGTGATTTCTTAATATAAATATATTTTGTGGACTTGAAATGCACACTTCTCTCTTGCATCTGATTGTGTTTGCAACAGAAACAGAAATTGGAATTGCCTAGATTTCAGGCAAGGGCTTCACTTGAGTATTGACTGCCACATGGTGCTCATGGCCAATGGATATACAGACATCCCAAACTCCAGCTTCAGAACCTTCACAATGGGAGTCTGTGGCCCAGAAACACACCCAGGGACAGCATATATGGGTTTTCTAGGCCTGCAGAAATAAGACTACCTAATCAGTGAGTTGGGCACGCTTAGTAACATTCTTGGAGCAAGAGACAAAAGTAGACTCACTGTACATAATTGCAAAACTCACTTAAGGGCTCCCACAGGCTTTCAGATATTATATAGTTCCCTATGAAAGTGTTGCATCAGCCCCCTTGTGATATACAGAGGCAATATTATGTGAGAAAAAAATTGAGCATCACAAGCTGCGAATTAAGAAGTGATACAGAGGAGTTGGATTTGAATGTGAAGAGGTTTTAAGAATATCTTAATTTCCTTCACTGATTTTTTTCCTTTTTACATATGTAAAAGCATAATCTATAATAAAAAGCACTGCCAAAAATAATCCTCAACAGCCTCGTTGAATAAATATCAAATAAAAACCATGTCATAAGAATGCACTGCACTTCAGTTTAATTGGCAGTCTTTTTCTTTAACACATAGTATGCATAATAATAAATATGATAGTTTCATAAGTGTCTTGGAGTTAGTGAGATGCAGCATGTAAGGCACAGTAGGTAAGACAGTCAGTCCTCCTCACGTGACATAGCCATCTGGCTGTGTTTTCTCCCCTCTGGATGACCTCAGGCAGTGTATCAGATTTTCTTTGTGATGGTTGATTTTCCTTTTTTTTTCGTGTGTGTGTGTGTGTGTGTGTGTGTGTGTGTGTGTGTGTGTGTGTGTGTGTGTTAACTTGGTGAAGTGTGGAGCTGTTGTTTGGTAAACACCAGTCCAGATGTCACCACGGCGGTATTTTGCAGATGTGATTAATGTTGGCAAGCGAGTGACTACAAACAGTAGAAGAGATTATCTTTCATACTGTGAATCCTTCCAATTAGGTGAGGGCCTCGACCTCAGAAGCCAAAGTTTCTCCAAGAGGAAGGAACAGAACTTCACCTGAATGACCTGCCTCTGGCCTTGCCAGCTTCCATCCTCACTTGAGTCAATTCTGCACACAATCTGCCTCTCCGGAAGACCCTAATGTAAGTGTTTTAAATTTGCTAAATGATTATTGCACAGAAAGCGAGCCAGAAAGCAAAGGCAGAGGGTAGGTAGCCTTGCAGAGTCACCCGCTGAGATAACATGCTTTGTAACATACACTTTGTCTACCCTGGCTTTGTGCGAGGCTGGTGAACTCCTGAAAAAAAGCTTCTGTTAAAATGTTTTCATACAATATATTTTTATTATATTATTTCCCACCACCCCAACTCCTCCCAGATCTTCTCTGTCTCTCTACCCACCATACTTAGATTCTTTCTCTCCCTTGCTTATCCATGTTCCCTGCTGCTCTATTCTTAATAGTCAGAAATTGGAAACAGTCTAGATGCCCATCAACTGATGAATGGACAATGGAAATGTGGTACATCTACACAGTGGAATATCATTCCACTGTTAAGAAAAATGAAATTTGCTATGGATGGAGCTAGAAACAGTCATCCTGAGTGAGGTAAGTCAAACCCAAAAGACAAATATTGCATGTTTTCTCTTTTGCGTGTATGTTAGCTTTTAAGCCTTTGATTTGTGTGCTTCCATTTGGATAACCACAGATGTTAGGTAGCTAGCAGGTCACCAGAGGGGAGGAGGGGAACTCCCAAGGATGACAGACACTTAACATACGCCTATCTGTGATCCTCACATTTTCTGTAGACTCATGTGACTAATTTTGGCTGACTCATACAGGCATTTATATCTGTCTTAAGTAATTACCACTTCACTAAATTTGGCCCAGTTTTTGTATGTTATTTGGCAGTCGGTGGTGTGTCTTCTGGGGCCCCACCATCAGAGAGGGACCTGCCAGCTGCAATTATGGAACCTGGGTGGATAGAGGCATTGCCCTTGCAGGTGCCAGTGTGGTGGCACCGATTATGTCCTCATTGTAGGCACCAAGCAGTTGTCTCCAATTCTCTCTTCACAGCTCAGCCTCTCAAGATTCAATTGCTCTGGGCTTGAGCTGCACGTGGGCAGAAGTGAGTGAATTGTATTAATGGTTTCCCTAGCATAATCCATCATCCCCTCAACAATGCATTTCTGGCAGTTAATTAGAATCCACACAGTGGAATAACGAACATCGTGTTTAGAATTACAATCTATTGCTAAACAACAGACCAGACAGCTCATTCTCTCCCATCACCCTGGATGTCCTAAGTGTCTGGCTTCTGAATCCCGTTTAGTACTCTTTAGCCAGTAATTCTGCCGAATGGTTTCAGATGACTTAATCACATCTGTGTGGTGGAATCTCTGTATGTGCCCATGGGTGAGAGATAAAAGAGGAGAGAGTTGGAGCCGGAGAGATGGATTTGCAGGTAACAGCACTCGATGTTCTTCTCAGGACTGCTCTTAGTTTACCAGCACCCGAGTTACGGGGCTTATACTCTGCTCCAGGCTCTGTGTGCCTGTGCACATGTACCTGCCGAGACACACATTCACACACATGTACTCATAAATAAATATTAAAGTACATCTTTAAAAGAGGAGGGAGCAGAACTTGGCATTCAGAGAAGGGAAGAAGTCTCTACTTCCCAAAGCAAGAAGAGGAGATCTCTGCCTTGGGATGAGCCTCTAGGCTCTTCTGTGGGTGTCTCAGAGGGAGGAAGACTCACAAAGTTTGAGTTAACAGGGGCCTCAGAGACATAGGTCTCACCTTTTACCCATTCAGAGTCTCCATGAAGATAGTGGCACATCCTCCCTCCTCCCTCCTCATCTGCTGTGATTTCTTCTGCTTCAGGGAGGGCGTGGCTGCTTCAGGGCGTGGCTGCTTCAGGGTGTGGCTTCAGTTAGGCACAGGCAACTCTCTCCGGGGCTCAATGGCTCTCATGGATTCCTTTGCTGGCTTCAGAGACATCTCTAGTGTCCTTGGCACCTCCAGATAGTAGATGATTAGCAAATTCAAAATCTCTCAGTCTGGCTGCCCCTAAAGTTGGTTTCTAGCCCTATGGCTCAGCTGTGGAAGGAAGCACCCACCTGTGACAAGTGTCCTTGGTTTTGATAGAGTAGGCCTTCGTTTCCATTTTTCTGGTATCATTATATGAGTGTTTTTTTTCCCCCTTCAGGGACTAAGGGGACCATGTCTACTATGGGGGAGAAGTTTCTGAAACTCTGCCTCTGAGTGAATCAAGGTTGCCCAGCCACCTGGGATCTGTGTCTCCAAAAAGAAAACTCATGCTGCGTTGTCTGAATGTATTCCCCAAAGTTGGAAACTTAATCTCCAATGTAGCAGGACTGGGAGGTTTACCTCAGGTCATGGGGGCTCTTCCTAACTAGCATTCTCATGGGAATAGGCTGAAGAAGTGTTTGTCCCACTTTCACTCTCTGGCCATGTTACCCATGTCCAAACCATGATGCAGCCTCTCCCCAGCTGCAGTTGTGGGTAGCCCAGTTTCATAAACCAGGAGCCAAATAACTTTATCTGTTCAGCATAAGTTATCCAGTCTGCATTCTTATGTTTTATCAACACAAATGGACAGAGGCACTGTCGTATTTCTGTTGGTAGTCAAACCTGTGAGGGCTCCTGTGTGCACACACATGCTTCTGTGCTCCTGGTTTTCCCTTTGGGTTCCCATAAGACAATTCCCATGGAATCCCTGAGACAAAAGCCCAGCTCCATAGCACTGGCTGGTCCCAGGTGTTACTAGACACAGGAACAAGCCAGTAAGTAGGCTTAGTCTTGGTCTCCTCATCTAAGAAATGGGGTGAGTAGTCATGTGTTCCTCACATTGATAGAATAAATAGTACAATCGTGAAAGTTCTACATCAGTCACAAAAGAAAGATCCCCCGAGTTCTACACAGAGAAAGTGATCTCTCCCCTTCTTTCTTTGTGTGTGTGTATGTGTGTATGTATGTGTGTGTGCATGCTTCTGTGTGTATGTGCATATATGTATGTGTGTGTATGTATGTGTATGTATGTTTGTATGGATGTGTATGAGTGTATGTATGTGTGTGTATGTATGTGTGTGCATGTATGTGTGTGTGTATGTGCATGAGTACATATGTGTATGTGTGTGTATGTATGTGTGTGTTTGTGTGTGCATGTGTGTATGTGTGTGTGAGAGAGAGAGTGAGAGAGAGAGTGAGAGAGAGAGAGAGAGAGAGAGAGAGAGAGAGAGAGAGAGAGAGAGAGAGATCAGAGAGCCAGGCTTGCCTTATGTGATCATTAGCATTTTCTAATCTCAGTTCCTGGCAGAGGTTAGTGGCCATTCTTGGAAGATAGGTAGGATACAGATCTAAATCTCCTTTTACTTAGCCAAACTCTTTGATTCTTTGAAGACAGGGTGCACTAGAGTGGTGTAAAGCCCAAGAGAAGGACATTCAAATTCAACTTATTCTAACCATTCAGATTTGGGGGCTGTGTTGTGCTGGTAAATGTTTGTCAGAGGGCAGGGGACCAAAGGCCTTGGTTGTGGTTCCTGTTTTCTGCTGTTCTGGCAGAGTAGCACAGGCTTGGTTATTTAACAAGAGAGGGGAATAGGGCTCAAAGACCTTAGTGAGAGCCGAGTGTGAGACGGAGGGGCTCTGTATGGCGAGGGAGGGCCTTTGTGCTATATTACAATGTGGTGGGAGGGCAAGCGAGCATGTGGGAACCGCAGAGAGATCGCCTTCCTCTCAAGTCAAGGGCACCTGCCCCTTGCTGGAGGTAGATTTTAATATCTAGTCACCCTTCTCTTATTTCCCGTTACCTTAACAGTAGCAATTAAATTTCTACACAGGCTTTGGAAAGGACCTTTTTTTAAAGGACAGCCGTAATGTTTGGTAGTTTGGGTGACATAAATATTCTCTGCGTGGCTGATTCTTAAGTCAGGAATTTGGCAGACTGTACGCGGTCAGCTCTCCAGTGCAGGCCTGAGTCTGCTGTGTAGCTAGCTCAGGAAGGACAGAGGGAGGCACAAGGGAGTTTTGGGTTCCTGGCGGGTTGAATTTCTCCACATAACTCCGACTCACTCCACTCACATTTGCTAAAGCATGGTGGAGGTAGCATGGCCCTTTTCTCAATCATTTACCGTAGCCGTACCAGGTCTGGAATCAGCACTGGCCCTGGCTGCCCTGCTGGCTCCCGATGCGGCAGCCCCGCACTCTTGGTGGTCACAGTGGTCCCTGCAGGATGACATTTTAGCAGCCTTTGCAACAGCATTCTCTCTCCTCCCACCCTTTCCTCAACCACAGCCTGGCATGGTGTAGGCGTTTTATGCATGCCTGTTCAGCGTGGAGGTTTTCAAGCACAAGTCCCACGTGGGCACTGGCTGGGACAGTCCAAGACCCTTTGAAGGCTCCCTTTGCCTGAGTCTTGGATGGTCGGCACAGACTTTTCTTCCCCACTGTGTGTGGGTTCTAAGTCCATGTGAGAGGCAGCCTGGTGCTTGCAGGGAATGAGGTCTGAAATGTCTCTGGTTGCCCTTCCCTCTCTCTGCTTAACTATAACTTCTCGGTTCTACAGACTACAGTTGGATGTCAAAGTGCCTGCTGAGTGGACAAGCTTGTTCCCTGGCTCTGCCAGACTGGAAAAAGTCACACTAAATGACTCACCAATAGTTGCAATGCCTTGTTACATCTTTATGAATACATTGGGTGACTGTGGAAAGATCACTACATCTCTGATGCAAATCCCCACAGGAAATAAATATAGATTCCTTTGTCATAATCAGGGTGGCATCTCGATCTGCCTGCGGTGATTAAAGTGTAACCAAACTGCCATTTAATCTCATTTCAAAATTGTGTTGTGTAAAAACAGCATGATACAGAAATACTTTGTGTAGCTTGAGCTCTGGTGTGTAGAGTCTGTTTAAAGTTGCAGCATCTGCTGAGGAATAGCTCAGATTTGCCTGTGTTGTTGTATGTGAACATGAACGATCTCCATTGTCTTCTCTCTACAGAGGCCATTTTTGCTCTGCCTTGTAGAAACCTTCTCCACTCTCCTATCTACTGGAAAAGAAACTCACAGTGTATCTCAGAGAAGCAGGTCCCCTCCTGGGTCTACTTAGTGAAGCCCAGTAGTGAATTCCTTTCAGGATGGTTTCTGGGCCGTGCCCCAGCTGGCTGGTCGTATAAAGATGGCTTTCTCTGGGGATATCAGGCATTGCAGAGGCTTGTGCTGCAGGTTCATGAATGTTACCTGTGCCTGAAGAAGCAGGGCACAGGGCCTCTTCTCAGCAGAGATTTTAGACTTGAGTGGAGAAAGATGCAGAAAGGAAGTCATGGGGTGAGGGTACAAGTAGCTGAGGGGACAACCAGTGATCTAGTCCAGCCAAATTGGCCAGCTGGCTCCTGTGGGCTCTGCTGTAGTAGCCGGCAGCCAAGCAGCATGATTAATCTGATTTCCCTGCAGCAATTCATTTGAGGACTTGAGACCCATCTGCATGGGCATTCTATGGCCAGCTCTGGGCTGGCCAGGAGTGAGGAGGGCCCTAGTGACTCAACATTATTAGGAGAATGCTCCCAGAAACATCTTTTCACTTTGTTGGGATCAGAATAAGACCCAAACGTGAATATGGTCTCTAGGGTGGGAGAGCATACTGGCTGGGAGGGTCTCCTTGAGCATCTGCATGCCCACTCAGCAGGGAGGAAAGGCTGCTTAGGTTAGAGAGCATCATTCTAAACTCTCTGTTCCTGATGTTTGAGGCATGGACTTTGGAGGTTCTAAGAGGGAGCAGGAAACTAAGTGGAAAATATATAGGGAATCATAACAGAGCTGCTGTGTGTCTCAGAGGAGAAGCTATGCCTGAGTATACAAGTGTGTGTGCACCTCTGTGTGTGGTTCTAACTACTTACCTAGAGAGAGCAGGAGAGCAAAGTCTGGCCGTGTTGGTGTAGGAATGCCTCTTGTCCCTCATTTGGGAGTTCTTCCCTGGAATCCAGCGCTGGAGGGAAGGTCTTGGGGAACATTCTGGGTGTATTACTTATGGAGCAACAGAGCCTCCTTTCTTCCCAATGTTCATTTTCAGGATTCACTATCAGTGTGGGATTAGGCACTCAGAAAAAGGTGAGGCTGTTTGAGGGCTACTAGCAGGTGTTCCTGAGTCTGGTTAGCCCAAGGCTTATATAGTCAAAAACCACAGATTCCATGAATTTTGTCAGTGTGTAGGCATAACCTATACAAGCTAGGGGCTTACATGTTAGAGGCATTTTTTTTTTTTGTGGTTTGGCCTCTAAAGCAAAGTAAGTATAAACTTTAAATGTAATGTTAACCATCACACCGTCTTGGAGAGAAGTTTAAGATATAGAATGTTCTAAAGGGAGGTGAAACATCCCATTCTGCAGAGCCCCTCCTTAAGTTCAGGAAATAAACAACTCAAAGGTTTCAGGAAGTTGCTGAAGCTGATCATACCTACTAAGCCCCTCCCTCTCCAAGTGTATGTAATCAGGATTCCTGAGAGATACTCTTAGACGAACAGAGCTGCCTAGACGAGGCTCGGATCAGGAGATCTGCTGGAAGGAATCAGAGACCAGCCAAAGATTAAAGAAGCAAAGGCTAGCCCAGCAACCTGGAAAAGATACTCAACTATTGAGCTGCCTGCAAGTTGTGCGATGAGCTCCAGGGTTCTAGGTTTAGGGCATAATGAGCTGTAGCCCAGGCTGGAGTAGATTTTGGTGATGCAGCTGTCCTGGAGTAATTTCTGCTTCTGTAAATAACCCTCTCACCCATACTTCCATAAGCAACCACAGTAGAACTCATTGGTTCATCAAGTTGGACTATGGTGTATCCTTATTTTGGTATGTCATTGGTTCCCTATCTTGGGTGAGTAGATGTTAGCTGTCATCTCCCCAGGGACAATGCCACACACCAGTCTCTTTATCTTTATCTGCATCCTTTGTGGTATGCTTTTTTTTTTTTTTCTGCGGTATCTTGAACTAATTTCTTTTTTAAAAAATTATTTTATTTAATTAACTTTTTTTTTTTTTTTTTTTTGGTTTTTTTCGAGACAGGGTTTCCCTATGTAGCTTTGCGCCTTTCCTGGAACTCACTTGGTAGCCCAGGCTGGCCTCGAACTCACAGAGATCCGCCTGGCTCTGCCTCCCGAGTGCTGGGATTAAAGGCATGCGCCACCACCGCCCGGCTTAATTAACATTTTAAAATTTATTTTACATACTGACCACAGTTTCTCCTCCCTCTTCTCCTCCTGTTCCCTCCCCCAACTCCCATCTACCCTCTTCCCCATCCACTCCTCCTTTGTTTCCATTCAGAAAGGGACAGGCCTCCCATGGGCTTGAACAAAGCATGGCACATCAAGTTGAGATAGGACCAAGCTCCTCTCCCTGCATCAAGGCTGGGTGAGGTAATCCAGCATGGGGAACAGGTTCCTAAAAGCCAGCTAAGTGCCAGGGACAGGTCCTGATCTCACTGCTGGGACCCTTACAAACAGATCAAGCTACACAACTGTCACACGCATGCAGAGGGCCAAGGTCAGTCCCATGCAGGCTCCCTAACTGGTGATCCAGAGCCCATGTGCTTACAGGAGCTCGGGTCAGCTGTCTCTGTGGGTTTCCTCATCATGACCTTGACCCTCTGGCTCATACAGTCCCTCTTTCCTTTCTTCAGGAGGACTACTGGAGCTTGGCCCAGTGCTTGGGTGTGGATCTCTGCATCTGCTTCCATAAGTTACTGGGTGAAGTCTCTCTGAGGACAGTTGGGATAGTCACAGGGGAAGGCCAGTTCAGGCACCCTCTCCACTATTGCTAGGAGTCTTAGCTGGGGTCATCCTTACCTAGTACATGTTTTTCACTTTTCATGAGTCACTCATAAGGAGACTGGGCATCCTGATAGCTGGTTAGTCAAGAGTGCATGTCACAATCTGGGCATTGAGACTGGATATCTGAATGGCAAAGGGCAATCTTGCGCATTGAGCCCTGAACTTGAGGATCTGAGCTCTTTTTTGGTCAGCTAATTAAATTAGAAGATCTCAAGCTAGCATCCTTTGCCTTTAGAAATGAACAATCCCCACACTTTTTTTTTTTAGGGTACAAAACCTAGTATGTGCTATGAGTGCATAGTTGGAGAAACCCAGTTTGGGCTGGTTTGTTTTTCTACCCAGCTCCAAAGTGCATAGGCAAATTCTAAATGGATTTTCCACTTTCCTCCACTATTTTCATGCTTACCACTGGCATAGTCTGGCCATTCTCCCTCTAACCCATTGTTTCCACATCTCAAACGCTCTACAGTCCATTAACTTTTCCCACCTTACATCACCACTTTGGCTTGGGTCACCTTTATTCTTTTCCTGCTGACTGAAGCAGGTTCCTAACTCACCTCATGGTTCTTGCCGTCCCTTCTCTGTACTGAGTAGTGGTTCCCTTAAACTATACAACATGAGGCTGGAGACATGGCTTAGTGGTTTATAGTGCTTAGTGCTCTTGTAGATACTTGCTGTGTAGTTCCCAGCATCTGTGTTCCATGGCCCACAACCACCTGTAACTAGCAGCTCCAGGGTATCCAGTGCTCTTCTGGTCTGCATAAAGATACACACGGAGAAGTAAATAATAGAAGAGGGTATATGTATATATGATATATAATTATTTATAAATATTTATTTATGATTTTTATAGTTTATACGTATAAATATACAATTATTAAATATATTTCAGATATAAACAATATGATTTATATAACATATCTCTATATATTAACTATATATTTAAAAGACCCTGCACATCTGCTCCTATCATCCTTCTACCCTAGATCCTTTCTCAACCTCCTGTTGCCTGCAAGATGAAGTCCAAGGCAATTCCTGGGCTCTGCATGGTTGCAACTTGCAACTCCAACACCATCCTCCTCTCTCCTATCTCCCATGTTTCCAGACAACCCTGAGCTCCATGCAGCTCCTGCAGAGTACCACTTTCTCTCTCTCTCTCTCTCTCTCTCTCTCTTTTTGGTGTTGGACAGTTGCATCATTATCTCTCAGCTGGCAAGTCTCCAAGCCCTTCACTTCAGTGTTTGGGGTTCTTTTGGGAACTAGCTTTCCCTGTTGACCACACCTCCACCTGCTGCTGAGGAGAGTAGTGTTACTAGTCCTTGGTCATATATTGCTCATCAACAACCCACTCCATAAATGGCTTGTGAGGCTTCAAGGCCAAGAACTGTGGCTCATATGGGACCCACCCACAGCAGAGCTTCACTGCATTTTCTGGCTTCCATAATGTGAGCTTCACAGCTACTTTCATTTCGGGGGGGGGGGGGAAATAAAACGGCACATTAAATGCACACCAAATTGTTTTTGATTAGTAAGGTACTATGAATTTGCCCAAGACATCACAGTTCCTTTTCAGTAGATCAAGATTAATGTACGGCTCTGCCTTGTCTACATTAGGAGCAAAGACCTTTCTCCACCAGTGCATTGCAGAGCAGTTCCGTAGACTCAGGATGGTCACTCCATCCCTCAGCATGTGCTTTCTGTGGACCTCTGGAGTACTTACACATTGTCTATTTAAAAAAAATATATTGGAAGATGCCATGGCATCTCCCGCTTTTGCCACGTAATTAAACTCAATTCCCTTTTCCATATTGACATACATTGTTGGGAGCAAACAACCTGTCTTCAGAATCAGTGTGGCATGTTTGCAGAGGCTGCTCTGCTCCTGAGTGACAATCCCAGACTGCTACACTGACCTCTCTTTCCAGCTTTGAAGATGTTGTAGCCTATGGCAGGGGCTCGTCCCAGTCCTGTCACTGGGTAGCTGTTCAATGGTACCTTTACATTGCAAGGTTGCTTTTATAGCTAAGGGTCTGTCATAGGGAACAGTTGATTTTCTTCTTAAAGAAAATTGGGG